CACCAAATGGGGCTTTGGGGTCACTTCTGTCACCCACACAGCTGGCACTGCCACCAAACGGGGCTTTGGGGTCACTTCTGTCACCCACACAGCTCTGGTGTCACATCTGTCACCCCATGGCTCTGGGGAGGGCCCATATCTGTCACCCACTGTGGGTCTGGGGGGTCACATCTGTCACCCAACACAGCTTTGGGGGTCACATCTGTCACCCAATGTGACTCTGGGGATGGCACCTGTCACAGCCCGGCTTTGGGGGTCACATCTGTCACCCCTCAGCTCTCCAGAGCTTCTCTTGGGGGTCCCTACAAAGTGTCCCCAGCACCTCCCGTCCCCCTGTCCGTCCCCCTGCCCGTCCCCTCTGCTGGACATGCAGCAGGTGGGGTCACCCCATTCCCATGGGATTCACCCCCAAACCCCCTCCGGGACCCCCAAACCCCCTCTGGGACCCCCCAAATCCCCTCCAGGACCCCCCGAACCTCCCTGACCTTCCCGAAGGTTTGCTGCAGCTGCAGGTAGAGCCCGCCCTGCTTCACCACCGCCTCCTCCATCGCGGCATGTCCGGCGTGTCCGAGTGTCCGGAGTGTCCGAGTGTCCGGAGTGTCCGGAGTGTCCGGAGTGTCTGGAGTGTTCAGTGTCCGGAGTGTCCGGAGCGTTCAGAGTGTCCCGAGTGTCCGAGTGTCCGGAGTGTCTGGAGTGTTCAGTGTCTGGAGTGTCCGGAGTGTTCAAGTGTCCGGCGTGTCCGGAGTGTCCGGTATGTTCAGAGTGTCCGGAGTGTCCGGCGTGTCCGGAGTGTCCGGTATGTTCTGAGTGTCCGGAGTGTCCGGAGAGTCCGGAGTGTCCGGTATGTTCAGAGTGTCCGAGTGTCCGGAGTGTCCGGTATGTTCAGAGTGTCCGAGTGTCCGATGTGTCCGGTATGTTCAGAGTGTCCAGTGTGTCAGGCGTGTCCAGCCGTGTCTGGAGTGTCCCGTGTGTCCAGTGTCTCCGGTGTGTCCGGAGTGTCCGACGTGTCCGGAGTGTCCGGAGTGTCTGGAGTGTCCCCCGGGGGTCCCGTGTGTCCGGTGTGTCCCGTGTGTCCGATGTGTCCGGTGTGTCCGGAGTGTCAGGCGTGTCCAGCCATGTCCGATGTGTTCAGAGTGTCCAGTGTGTCCCGTGTGTCCAGTGTCTCCGGTGTCTCCGGTGTGTCCCGTGTGTCCGAAGTGTCAGGTGTGTCCAGCCGTGTCTGGTGTGTCCGGAGTGTCCGGAATATCCGGTGTCTCCGGAGTGTCCCCCGGGGGTCCCGGGGGCCGTGTCCCCCCCGCCCCGCGGTGTCACCGGGGCCAGCTCAGCTCGTGTCGCGCTCGGTTGTCGCTCCGCCGCTTCCTGCGCTGGCGGCGGCTTCCTGTGTGTCCCCAGGCGGGGACGGGGACACGGGCGTGGCACCGCCGGACAGGTGGGTGTGGCACTGCGGGACACGCCCGGGTGCCACCCTGCGCTGCTGGGGACACTGGGCAGGGCGCTGGGCACTGGGTGGGACACTGGGCACTGGACACCAGGAATTGGGCACTGGACATTGATATAGGGCACTGGGCACTGGACACTGGGCACTGGACACTGGGCACTGGACACTGGGCACTGGACACCAGGAATTGGGCAGGACATTGGGCACAGGTGGGGGACTCTGGGCAGGATACTGGGCACTGGGTGGGACACTGTGCACTGGACACTGGACACGGGACACTGGGCAGGGGTGGAGGACTCTGGGCAGGACACTGGGCACTGGGTGGGACACTGGGCACTGGACACTGGGAACTGGACACCAGGAATGGGGCCGGGCACTGAGAATTGGGCAGGACATTGGGGCAGGACACTGGGGACTGAGTGGGACACTGGGCACTGGACACTGGACACTGGGCACTGGACACTGGGCACCAGGAATGGGGCACTGGACATTGGTATAGGGCACTGGGCACTGCGTGGGACACTGGACACTGGACACGGGGCACTGGGCACAGTTGGGGCACTCTGGGCAGGACACTGGACACTGGTACGAGGCACTGGACACTGGGCACAGGACACCAGGAAAGGGGCCGGGCACTGAGAATTGGGCAGGACATTGGGGCACTGGACACTGGGCACTGAGTGGTACACTGGACACCGGACACTGGGCACTGAGCAGGATACTGGGCACTAGGCACTGGACACTGGACACTGGACACCAGGAATGGGGCCGGGCACTGAGAATCGGACAGGACATTGGGGCAGGACACTGGCCACTGGGTGGCCACTGGACACTGGGCACTGGACACCGGGCACTGGACACTGGGTGAAACACTGGGCACTGAGCAGGACACCGGGCACCGGACACCGGGCACTGGTCACCGGGCACTGGACACTGGGCACTGGACACCGGGCACTGGACACCGGGCACTGGTCACCGGGCACTGGACACCGGGCACCGGACACCGGGCACTGGGCACTGGACACTGGGCAGGGGTGGAGGACTCTGGGCAGGACACCGGGCACTGGGCACTGGACACCGGGCACTGGACACCGGGCACTGGTCACCGGGCACTGGACACCGGGCACTGGACACTGGACACTGGACACTGGACACTGGACACCGGGCACTGGTCAGCCCCGCCATGGCCCTGCCCGGTTTTTCTCACCTGGGCAATGGGTCCAGAGGCAGTGCGGGGGTGCCCATGGGGTCACAACCCCCCAGCTGTGCCCGTGCCCGGAATCCCAGTCCAAACCAGTGCTCCCAGTGCGGGCAGGGGAGCCGTGGGGATGGTGGGAATTGGGGA